TCTTTCCTGTATCAGCGGTTTTGGGCCGCAGTGTTTGGCAGGAGAAGTCGCCGTCTCTGGGGGCCCATTCAGCAATTCTACAACATTTGTGAAAAAGAGCGTTCCAACAGAAAATAAAACCTCTAATAATACGGAGGAAGCAGGAACGGGACGTGGTAGAGGTTTTGTGCCCCATCACCACCTCTGATTAGTCACTGCATGATTTCTTTTTTGGGTGGATGGTAAGAAATAGACTAAATAGTCTGACCTCCAGCCTTCTATCTGGCCTCCAGTCTTCCCTTCAGTCTTATATCACAAGTGACGAGAGAGCATGGAGCTGGCTTCCCGTCCAATCAGGAAGCCTGGCAGCGTGCAATGACGCGCTGCCTGGCTTCCGGATACCGAAAGTATCGGGCTAGGCATCGGAGCATTTGGACGAGTACTCGCCCAAATACTCGGCATCAATACCGATACTAGTATTGGTATCGGTGCATCCCTAGTCAGTATAGAGGCGTTACCCAGGGTGGTCTTCATGCAAATGCCTAGGAAAGTCCACTCCTCTTGAGGAGTACTGAGGCAGGGTACTGGGGCTCCTCCATTTTTCATTAAAAAAGACGTTGTTGGACTCCAGTCAGTGAGGTGACTCGCATGAGGCGACTCGCATGATCATCTCAGCCGAGACACATCGCTGACTGGAATCCAACGATCGCTTTTCAATGAAAAATGGCGGAACTTGTCCAAAACAAAAATATATTTATTGTCAGAAATGTACTTGCAGTGTTCTTCCCTGGAACAGTCACATGACCGAGATCGGCAGATCGGAGGGAGGAGAGGTTTGGATGCTTTTTGGGTCCCAGTATTTTTTTACAGCATATGATCACAGCAAGTTTACAGGATGCGAGTACCTGCGCACACCCCCGAATTTAGGCAAGGCGGACATACTGCCTGATACCAGAATCTGCAGCCAATAAGGCATGGATCACCATTGGGTTAAACTTTGAGAAGGTGTTGATGTGTAAAGGCGAGTGTGGTTACCATTATTGTTGCCACGTTTCTGGTGAACGTCAAACCTGAAACCTTCTTTCTTAGACAACCAATTAGGTTGTCTAATTATCGCCGATGAGAGGAAGTGTAGCCTGACGGCAGGAGAGGACAGAGAAACTAACAGAGAAGTCGGTCCCCCCCCTCGGCTTTCTGGCTGATCCCTCCAGAGTGCTCTCCAGCCTTGGAGGTTGTCTAATTATCGCCGATGAGAGGAAGTGTAGCCTGACGGCAGGAGAGGACAGAGAAAATAACAGAGAAGGTTTCCTTTTTCTATTTTGCGGACGTATCAATAGAATTATAAACAAAAGACATTGGATTTTTAATACCATTTGGTAGAAAATAGACTATTGGTGTTATAACCCTCGTGTACACACTTTTACACTTTTTATATTTTTTCCACCTGTATTTATTCACTTTATACCAGTAGATGTGGTTTTATTTCGAAATTTGCTAGATTGGTCATACACCAGTTTTTCTAAATTATTGTCTTTTCTAGTTAATTGCTGTTGATTGTTAGAGTGATCTATTTTTACATTTAACTATTTAGTATCCACAACTGTATTTTCACTTTATGGCACACATATGCATTATCTATTAATTTATTTGGTTCACATTTAACTATCTAGTATTTACATCCGTACTTTTACCATACTTATATGACACGTATATTTATTAACATTCATGCACATATGCACTTTTGGATTGCATATAGTTGCAAGTAGGATCCGACCACTTGCACTGTTTTTAGTCTGTGGTATTACAAACATCACATAATTTAAAGATTAAATATAGCACGTATCACAAAACCAAGCGCAGCACACCGGTTTATAATTGATCACCTTGATAGATATTGCTGCAGCTGGACTTTTTGATCATATTTTTTATTTTCTTTGTATTTTGGGTTTTTTGATTTCTGCCATATATCCTAGCGCAACTACCTTGGTTACCATCTTCTTTCAGGCTTCTTCCTTCCACCACGGCTTGCCATTTGGCTCCTCGGAGGAGGAAGCGTGGTTGGAGGAGGAAACGTGCGTGGGAGAAGAAGGAGGGGGACGAAGCGTGGGTGGGAGAAGGAGATAGCATCGTTGGAGGAGAAGGAGGAGGAAGCGTGGTTGGAGGAGGAGGTAGCGTGGTTGGAGAAGAAGGAGGAGGAGGTAGCGTGGCTGGAGGAGAAGAAGGAGGAGGTAGCGTGGTTGGAGGAGAAGAAGGAGGAGGTAGCGTGGTTGGAGGAGAAGAAGGAGGAGGTAGCATGACTGGAGGAGAAGGAGGCGGTAGCGTGGTTGGAGGAGGAGGTAGCGTGGTTGGAGAAGAAGGAGGCGGTAGCGTGGTTGGAGGAGAAGGAGGAGAAAGCATGGTTGGAGGAGAAGGAGGAAGAGGTAGCGTGGTAGTAGTAGTAGGTGTGGTTATAGAAGAAAAAGGAGGAGAAGAAGGCATGGTTAAAGATGGAGGAGGATGAGAAGACGTGGTTAGAGAAGAACGCACCGTAAAGGAGCAAAAAGTGGCGTGGTTAGAAAAGAAGATGGAGGCGACATAGTTGGAGTTGGAAGGGGACGGCATAGTTGGAGGAAGAAGGAGGCGGCATAGTTGGAGGAAGAAGGAGGCGGCATAGTTGGAGGAAGAAGGAAGTGTGGTTAGATTTTGGGGGGGAAACACAGACTGCAGTGGGTTTCCATCGGCGTCCAAAGCCAAAGAGCTCGGAGCACCGGCAGCCTCACAACTGCGGCCCCGAGCTAAATACTGCGAGCCCCGAGCAGGACTCCTCTGCTAATCCGCAATGTACAACAGGCTTCACGCAGAGTTTGGGAGTCAGTCAATTGTGTGTGAATTCATACAAATTTGGGACAACCAAAATAAAAAAAACGGGCAGACTCCATGCGCTGCTCTTCTACATTATACAACCCGATTCAAGCAGAGTAAAAAGAGAGAGTCTGCTGATGAGTTCACTTCTCCTTCCATTGTCCAATCACAGGCTGGGGGAGGGACAAGACCTGTAATTGCTACCTAAATGCAGCAGAGAAGAATCATGGTTTCTGCCCTGCCTGATACGGCTGTGCTGTGTGGCAAAGCTGTACAAATCTCAGGACTGGATGGACAGAAATACAAAATCCTTTGGCAGGTAGCCCAGCTCTGTATTATTTCTCTGTATGTGGCGGTTTGCCTGGAATTCGGCTTCGAGTGGTGACTGAACAAGGGAACGGGAGGGGGAAAGACATGCGTAGGCATTGAGGGAAAATGAACGATGGGAACAGAATCTTCTGGAATCTGGAGAAACTCTCATAAACCTTTGCGGGATTCTTCCAGAGGGGAGCCGGCTATGAAGACGCTTCTAACAACCACAAGATGAAGAAACAAGACTCGCGCACATTATTAAACAAAGCTGGGGGCCGGCCCTCGTTCCAGGGTCTCCGCTGAGGAATCACAAGAATCCTCTATATTAAGACTCCTGCCGTCCCAGAATCCTTTGCTCCCGGCCTCTTGGGGCGTTAGGGATACACAACGTAGCACTTAGCGAGGACAAAGAACGTCTTATACTCTCGAATTTCATGGATCTAGGAACTTTA